TCGCAATTCGGATGACATTTAATACTATTTTTTTTGCTCTTAATTTTTTTGAATGTCATTCAATTTTTAGCGGTCACTTTGAATGATTGTCACGACGATCTACAATACAAATAAATAAATAAATTCTATAAGAGGATATTTTTTTTTCTTCTTCGAAATAACCATAATAATATTATTGTTTGGCCAAAGTTTGGTTTCAAACTATCATCATCATTATTATTATGATCGAATGACGAAAAAAAACGATGGGCAATCAAGATCGTTTGTGCGTTTTATCAATTGTTAGAATTTCTATTTTGATTGCACACTTGTTGAATTCAATTTTGAAACAGAAACAGCACATACACTGAATAATGATGATGATCATCAAGATGATGATGATGACGCCCAAAATATAACATATATTTTCTCACTTCTTAATTTTTTTTCGCTTTCACTTTTTTTTACGACGTTAAAATGTCCGCTGTCATTATCATTTTTTTTTTTTGATTTGAAGAAAGTGAAAAAAGAAAAATATTGTTGTTATTGTTGTTGTTGATCTTCATTGTAGTCTACATTTAATTCAAATTCACTGTTACAGACTACTAAATTGACTGACAGCCTGACTAGATGATGATGATACGGTTTGTTCATATTTAAATGTTCGTGTTTGTATTTTTTTTCATTCAGAAATTGGACAAAAAAAATATCCCAAGTTTTACTGAAAGAAAAGATGAAAAAAATTATCTTCATCGATCCAGTAGTCATTGAATGAATGAATGAATGCAACAATCCTATTCGAATTGTTGTCATTCATAATATTTGAAATCAAGAAAATGAAGAAAAAAAAACATATATCGATGATGATGATGATGAATAGTGATGGATCTGGTGCTTTTAGAAAATTCAATGTTTCAAAACAAAAAAACAACAATAATAATAATGAATACATGAGAATGATTGTTTGTGTGTGTTTGCAACGTGTCCGAAAAAGAAAGGTGTGATGATGATTGCTGCTATTGATGTGTTGTGTGGTTGTTGTTGATCATCATCATCATTGTCCATCGTCAATAAAGTCATCAGTAATCTTTTTTTTTCTTCTTTCAATGTTTCTGATTGATCCTGATCATCTATATTATTCACACTATAGGTGGTTTGATAATCGCGTTCATCAATTCACACTATTATTCATTGTCGTTTCATTTTTTTTCACCTTTTTTTTTATTTCGGATTGATTCATCATTTATGATCTCTTTTTCTTATGTCTTTTGCTGAAAAAAAACAATAGAAAACAAGAAGAATTATTGAAGCAAAAAGACATTGAAAAACAAAATCAATAATGAAAATGATTTCTTTGTTCCAATTTTTTATTGTTGTTGTTGTTTGCCACCAATAAATAATGATATTGATATTTTCAATTACAATTCGATATAATTTATCTGTGAATAAATCGATCATTATCTTTTATGTGAAAACAAAAATGATAATTTCAATTTTCATTATATTCCCATCTTTGAAAAATTTGTGATGACCCTCAATATAATGGAAAAAAAATTTTTTTATCCATCGAATTTCTTTGCTCGCCCCCTTTTTAATCGATTAACTGAAAAAAAACAAAATTTTTGTATATGATGAGAACAGAAATTTCTCATTATAGCCATAAGAGATATTGATCTTATTCTCGGATCCATTTTAGGATTATTCAAAAAGAAATAGAAGAAACAAAAAAATGAAGACAGGATTAATCAAAATCATTTTCTTCCTTTATCTCACTTTTTTCGACCAGACACAAATGTATAACATGGAAAATGTGTGTGGTTTTTTTTCTTCGTTGTTGTTACAAACAACAAAAAGAAAACCCAATCAATTTCATAAATTAGAATCTACATCGATTAATGTGTCAGATTATTAATGATAATTTCATACATAAATGTTTCTTAAAGCAAATATCTTCGGTATCATCATAAGACGAAAAAAAAATGATAACAACAACAACAAAAATGAACAAATCGATATGATTTTTAAATGCATAAATATCTATCTATCTTTCTTTCAAATGTTCATGTTATTTTATTTATATAGATTCTTTCATTGATAATTCAAATGAAATAAAATAAATGAAAATGAATGAATGCATGATACATAGACATAGACAAAAAAAACATACATAAAAATTGACATTCATAGTAAATGGACATTGAGACATTGATTGATTTGGGATTCAACCTCCATGGATTTCTTCATCATCATCATTTACCATACATTCAAATGTTTGTTTGATCCATTTTAGCAATCAGAATATATGGCTCAACTCTTTTTTTTTGTTGTTGTTGATGAGATTTTAAATGGAAATTTTTTATTTATTTATTTATCGAACAACAACATTTGAATTGATGTTTTCACAGTAGTTCAAATGAAAAAAAAATGAAACAATTAATTATATTCAAATGCAAAAAAAAAATGGCCATAGATTCATTACCAGAGATGAAATTATGAATAATTTTTTTTCATTTTGATTAATTATAACCACAATCGATAAATTTATTGAATTCAAAATTCAAGGAAAATAAAAAAAAATATCAAGTCAATAAATATATTAATAATCATAAAACTTGTTGAAATTTTTCATTTTGGGCTGAACATTTTGGAACGACCTAATTTTTGATGTTGTTGTTGTTGTTGGCCCTTTTCAATTTCTTGTTCAATGTCTCCTACGATATTTGAAATGAAAACATAATCAATCGAATCGATCAATCGGATCAGATCATTACTTTTTTTATGTTTCAAATAAAAAAATCTTAAAAGAAATTAAAAACGAAACACAACAAAAAAATATATTTAGAATGACTTTGAACAACAAAACAAAAGATAATTTTAAGAATCATCCGATCAAAAAGTAAAAAAAAACGAAAAGATTTAAGACAAAACTTATGAAACAAGATTAAAAAATTTCCTAATGTTATTATGTGTGAACAACAACAAAAAAAAATCAAATGTGGTCCTTCTTTGTGGAACATCTTTTTTTTTGCAACCGGCATTTTATTATAATTATCTTGTTGGAAAAGTTGTTGTCAGATATACATAATTGCCACAAACATAGGTGTTGATAAATTATCGTATAGGATCTTAACGTTTTTTTTTTTTGTTTCGTTCATCTTTTCTCATCTATTTTTTTTATATTCGAGTCTCATCATCATCATCTGTTTGATAGAATGAGTTTAACATTTTTTTTCTTCTCTTTCCTAATCTTTATCGGATGTTGTTCATTTTTTTCGATTAATCCATCATTCTTGATGAATGTGTGTGAACATACATCATATATGGATTGAATAATGAAAATATAACGACTTTTTTGCTGTTGTTGATTATTACATTATCACATTTAAACGATTAACACCTCACCTTATTGTTGTTCGGTTTGGTTCGTGTTCGTTTTTGAATTGTTTAGTAATTAAAACAATGATGTTATGGACGTTCATCACCACGGTCATCATCATCATCATAATCATAACAATAATGTTCGTCTTATAATTTGAACAAATTAATGAATCAATGATTATCACCTTTAAAATAAAGATCTAATTAACGCATAAACATCTTAATTAATGAACAGAAAAAGAAAGAAAGATGTTCATTAAAACATATTTCAGAATTCGAAACGTTAGTCTGTATACAATAACTATTCGGATTCGATTAGGATTAACATTTTGTTGAATAGAATAATAAAATGAATGAATGTTGCAAAAATCGACAAAATGGATGGATCAATCCATCTTTCAATAGTGTTTATGAACATTTTTTTTGTTGTTGTTGCTGATCATGAAGTATTTTCATTGAAGAAAATTATGACCTATTTGTCTGTCCGATAGATAGATAATATTTATTAGCATGAAGTGATGATGATGATGATCTTCACCAAATTATAATGATGTACATTAAATAGTATTCATAAATTATCTGTTTTTTATGTTTTTAGATCTTTAAATTTTCATTCGATAATCATCATCATCATTGAAAAATGATAATGATTTTTCTCATGGATGTGCATATGAATTATGTGGGTAGGATAGTTGTGAATTATATATCTTCTTCTTTTTTTTAAACATCTGATAAAGTTTGTACATCGTCTGAAAATGATAAAAGGATTAACCATCAACAATAACAGAGGATTCGATTATAATCTTATTTAAAAAAAAACAAAAATAAAAATTTGAAATATTATCACCACAATGTTGTTCCTTCAAATCATGGTAAATGAATTTAAGAAATCTACAAGATTATCTTCATGTTCTTGGAAGAGAAAGTTTTTGCTGTTGTTATTACATTAAAGATGATTCAATTGGTGAGATGTAGAAAGAGAGAGAGAGACAGAGAAATTGGAGCAATTACTTTTCAGAAATAAGCCTAGTGGACACATGTATTTTTTTCTGTAAATTTATTTGTTATGATTTTGTTACGAAACTTCCTTTCGTCGTCGACGAATAAAAAAAAATTCAAAAAATTAAAAATTAATTCATTAAATTTTCTCCGCTCACAGTAATAATCACATATGATTGGTAATTTATAAAAATTTCTGTTAATGTTTACAAAAAAAAAGATACCCCTCATAAAAAGTGAAAAATTACTGTAAAAAAAAGAAATTAGAACTTTTCGTCTGTTCGATAATGATGGCGACGATCAATTTTTTGTTAACAATTATAATAGTTCGATTCTTATTGTTATCGTTAGATTTTTGTTTTATGCCAAGTCATTTTATCATTTAGCATTTTCTTATATTGTTGGATTTGTGAATAAAATTATTATTTGTTTCGAATCATACAATCCATTTGCTAAAAAAAAGAAAAAAAGAAAACAAAAGATTGAAAAGAATTTTCTGTCATGACCGACGCCAAAATGTCTGAAGAAAAGCCAGTCAACAGCAGCCAGTCTGAATGCGAATTAGCTGCACAATATTTAACCGATATTTTAAATTTACCTAAAAATTCTGATCAATTTTCTTTATTATTTTCTCAAACAAATAGCTCGGATGTGGAATCGAAATCTGTTGGCGATAATGGTGATAATGAATGTAAATCTAATGCCGAAGAAATAGATCGAGACGAATTGAAAAATCAAGATTTGTCATTTAAAGATAAAAGTTGTAAACAACAATCGGAACATTTTGCCGATAATAATAATGATGATGATGATGACGATGAATGTTATGATGATGAAAATGATGAACAACCACCAAATGATGAAGAATCAAATGATTCAAATGGCCGTTATGATGATTCACAAAATTCATTGCTAGATCCAAATGAAAGTGAAAATCGTGAATATCGTTGCGATCAATGTACAAAAATTTTTCATTGGCGTTCAAATTTAATTCGACATCAAGCATCTCATGATCATAATCGTCGTTATTCATGTGAAGCTTGTCGTAAATCTTTTACTGATCAATCTAATTTACAACGACACGTTCGTAGTCAACATTTAGGTGCTCGTGCTCATGCTTGTCCTGAATGTGGTAAAACATTTGCTACAAGTTCCGGTCTAAAACAACATACTCATATACATTCATCTGTGAAACCATTTCGTTGTGAAGTATGTTCAAAAGCTTACACTCAATTTTCAAATCTTTGTCGTCACAAACGAATGCATGCTAATTGTCGATTACAAATTCGTTGTGATCGTTGTTCGCAATCATTTTCAACCGTTACTGCATTAACAAAACATAAACGTTTCTGTAATGATTCTACTTCCAATTCTACACAAAATTCAAAAATAACTACCGGTGTTTTAATTTCTCCAACAACTTCGACAACATCAAGAAATAGTTGTGAAAATAATCTTAAAAAACAAATATCTAATCAATCGAATCAGCAGCATAAAACTGGCATCTCAAATCTGTTTAATTCTCCTATCTTTTCAAACAACACTGAATTGTCACAATTTAGTGATGATAACATTAATTCGAATTTGCTTCAATTGTTTCAGAATTCACAGAATCCAACTTTTGCTTTAGCCGCTGCTGCAGCTGCTGCCAATCCACTTCTAAGCCACCTTTTTAATCCTTTATTGTTACAACAAACATTTCTTAATGATCAGATTGAAAATAAACTTTTAGACAAACAGGTAAGTCAATTTTTCATTTTAAAATATATTGTCTTATTTCTTTGATTTCAGGAATTTAATGATAAAACTTCAATTGATGGTGCTGAATTGAACGATAGCAATAAATTGAATAATAAAAACGACGACGAAACAGAAAGATCTTCATCACGTTCTTCTTCAGTTTCATCACATTCTGAAGATTCAAACAATTGCGAAGAAAACGTTCCATCTCTGCATATTGATTCCAAACAAGCAAGTAATTCGGAAAACAATTTAGAAACAAAGTCACTTGAAGAATCGATTAGCGATAATCAAGAATCAAACGAGCTAGAAAGTATCGATAAAAATAAAACAAAAGTGAAAAATTCCGACGAAGACGATAAAGCGATGTCGACAACATCATCACAACATCATCATACAAATAACCATCGTCACCATAATCGTCGTTCTTCGCAAACTAGTCATCATCAGGACGTATCTACCACTGAATCAATTTCAAACATGTTTCCATTTAGTTCAACAAATACCAGTGCTGGATCTGGTAGTATTGCATCTCCGAATTTCGATTACCGAACAGCCGCTGCATTGGCACAGTCAATACAATCGAAATTCTTTCATAAAAACGCTACCGGTAAAGATTCACCAAATTATAATGTTCAAGATGAACCGGAAAAAACGAAAAAGTCTACCAATTTTTCGATTAATTCTTTTCTAGATCAAACGACTAATAATGATAATAGTGGTAAAAAACATAATCCTGATGAAAAGCCACTTGATTTAAGTTCACCATCTGGTCTCGGGCCAACTATGAGTCCAACATTATTGAAACATCATAAAACAGGATTGGATTCATTCTTACAAACAGCTGGTGCATCATCCAATAACGTAATGTTACAACAAGCAATGGCCGCCGCAATGTCCAATCAACATTTCGGCTCTTCACCATCATCATCAGTATCATCGACAAATGATCATCTCATTCGGCAACAACAACAAGCGTTAACCGCTTTTCTTTACGGTAATCCTGCGGCTGCAGCTGCTATGGATCCTCCGACAGCAGCGGCAGCTGCAATGATTCAACAGCAACAGCAACATCAACAACAACAAGCACTGAATGCACAACAATTTGATTGGAACCAATTTTTGTTCGAACATTATCGATTCTTGATGGCGAACAACGCAAATAAACCGATGACTAATAGTGGTAACGTAAACAATCAAAATGATAATCCATTTTTGTCTTCAATGGCAACATCTACAAAAGTATCATCACCATATGGAGTATCCGGATCACGTGTTCCATCAAATCAAACATCGATTGCTCAGCAACAATCAAATTCATGGCTTGAATCCTTTCAAATGATGCAAAAACTGATTCAAGATCAGCAACAAAACAATAAAACGTCTTCAAAGCATCAACAGCAGCAATCTTCTCCATCATCGAAAACGTCTTCATCATATCATTCATCTGGATCATCTCCGTTTTTTGGTCCAAATTTATCAGCATTTCCCGGTGTTCATCATCAACCACCAGCTTCACTTGTGAATCATAATCATCCACATAGTCAGCATCGATACTCAAATGGATTTCCTATTCAATCTTCCGGTGCTAGCATAGCTGGTAATAACACCTTTACATCAACAACGTCGAATGTTGTGTCCACTCCGATTTCGACATCATCACCAAATTCCATTGATAAATCTCCTGCAATGGTGAAAAAAGCGGTTCCGTCTTCTATGAATTCGACATCAGCATCTAATCCATCGAAAGGGTCTTCAGCATCAGCAAGGAAATCTTCAAATACACAACCACAACATTCATCGACAAAACATCGATACCTCAACTCTGGTCATCATCATCCACATTTGCCTACTAAAATTGTTCCACCGAATCCATTGACTTCACATCGTTCTGGTAAAGAACGTTATGCTTGCCGTTACTGTGGCAAAATGTTTCCACGTTCAGCTAATCTTACCCGACATCTTCGAACACATACTGGGGAACAGCCGTACAAATGTAAATATTGTGAACGATCATTTTCGATTTCATCGAATCTGCAACGACATGTCCGTAATATTCATAACAAAGAAAAACCGTTTAAATGTCATTTATGTGATCGATGCTTCGGACAACAAACCAATCTAGATCGACATTTGAAAAAGCATGAAAGCGATCAGCAAACATTGCCATCACAAACATCACAGTCATCTCTTCCACCCACTATGGTTGATCCAGAACGAATCAAAGAATTTTTACGTTTACAACAACAGCAACCAAATATACCATTAGATGATAGTTATTTTGGCGAGATTCGTTCATTTATGGGTAAAGTGATGAACAAAAATAATAACAATAGCAATCATCTTAAAAATTCACATTCTGCTGCAGCGGTTGTTGCCGCTATGAATCGTGGTGGTCAAAATCTGAATGATGTTCTGGCCGCAGGTAATCCTGCATTGGAAACACTGCAAAAAATATATCCGCTACTACCTGATTTAACAAACGCATGGAAAATGAATAAAAAAATGAATGGCAATCCATCGGATAGCCAAAATTACAAAAAAAATTCTGTAGATAAAAAATCAAATGGATCATTAGATGGTAATAATAGCGAAGCAACTATGATCGAAGATGATGATGATGAAGATATCGATGATGATGTTGATGAAGATGAAGAGGAAGAAGAAGAAGAATGCTCCGTGAACAGTGGAGCAGAATCATGTTCTGTTGATGGTGATGCTAGTGGTGTAGATATTGAATCTGAATTAGATGTGGAAACTGCATCACCACAAACAACAATTTCGTCTAATATTGCGACTAACAATAAGGAAGATGATCAAGAATCTTTAGTCGATGATGATTATGATGGTGGAAAGGATTATAAACGAGAAAAAATAGATGTTTCTAAAAAGTCAACAAAAAGGAAACAAAATTTTGATGATGAAGATGATATAGAAAATGAAGAAGAATTAATTGTTGAAGAAGAAGGATTTGAGGATGAAGATAGTAACGACAATAAAGATTTCGAAGACAAAGACCAATATGCGAAAGAAGAAGAAGAAAAAGAACAAGTTATTAGAAAATCACCATCTTATCGTAAGCGTTCACGTAACAGGGATGATATCAACGATGGTCAGGAATCGGATATTAAAATAAAAAACGAAGAAATAGAAGAAGATCCGATTGAAGTTTGATTCTAAAAAAAACAACCAATTATTCATCACCCGATATTTAAGAAGATTAGCCATTTAAAAAATATTTTCTTTTTATTTTTATTTTTTTTCGTTTTATTCAAATTTTCAAAATTTATTTTTTAAAAATCATCTTTTTCGGGGTTTACAACATAATCATTTTTTTTACAAATATTGGTTCTCATCATTTGGCTTTTGGTTTGCCTCGGATTATCTCCTCTAGTCAGCACACGTCAAGATTTTGTTTTAGTTGTATTGTTTTTTCTTTTTCTTTTTTTTCGGTCGTCACATATGTCCATTCGATTTAATGCGTGCGTCCATCTCATCTATGTTGCACCGAAGAAATACTTTGATTAAAATTGAAGCAAAAAAAAAAAATCAATTGATGGAAATACATTTTTGATATTAGGCAATTCAATCTCAAGATTTATTATTTCTTCATATATCTGTCAAATTCATGCATCTCACTACTTTTATTCTTTTTTTATATATATGTGTTTGTCTGTATGTTTGTATAGAATGTTTTCATTTTTTTTCTTCTAAAATTGTCCAAAGTGTTTGAATTCTTCTAATTTAATCATTTTTTAAAAAATCAAGCAACTACATTTATGTACCACTACATTATCGACAATTTTTTCCACATTAAACAATTTGAAAAAAAATATTCTGATTAGATTTTACAACACTGAAATATTAATTTTTACTTTTTTTTTGTTTCATTTCATTTCAATTTATCTGTTCTTTTAATATTTTCATTCCAAATGATAATAATAATGATTTTTTTTGTCATTATATTTCCCTTATGATTTCTTTCATTTTTGTTACAATTATAATAGAGCACTTTCAATTAAATAATCATTGCCATTGCAAATCAACAATGAATACACCATTTTTTTATATATAAACACTTACAAACATTATCTCTCTGTATATCATGCTTTATTCCCAAATTTATCTTTTAATTTCAATTTCGTTGATTAAAATAAAAATCAATTGTTCTGTTTTTTTTATTGTGAAATTTTGCGAGAGATGGTGCCACTGTTTGATTATTGGATTTTAAAAGAATAATAAGTCAGCGCGAAAAATTTGCTTGGATAGTCATTTAAAACAATAAGTATTCAATGATTTTTTTCAATTTTTGGGTGAATTTATTAAACATATGACAAGTCAAAAATGTTGATCTGAATAAAAAGCCATAATTAAACGAAAACGATTGAAGAATGAACATAAAATACTATACAAATTTTTTAAAAAATTGCTGAATTTGATGATTCGTACAATTGAATATAAACACAAATAATAAGTTAACCATTAGAAAAACCAATGCGATTAATAATTTAGTAGAAAACAATCTAAAGTTGATGAAATATGTTTGAACACCATGTGATGAAGAAAATTTAAAATCAGAAGCGGTAATTGCATAGGCTTTTTTTCTCTCTGCATATCAATTAGACGTTATTTATTTCTGAATGTTCGCTATGGACAAGGCACCCGAGCAACAACAACAAAATGTGTTCTGAATTGTTCAGACTATTGTTGTGGCAACATCTGATAAGGTAGATTCGGATGACGAAGTGGACCACCAGGATTATGGCCATGATGACTAGCAGCAGCTTGAGCAGCCGGTAAGTTAGATGGTGGACCTCCGCGAAGTTTTGGAGGCATTATTTGCACCTATGTGAGAAAATGGAAAAAGAATAAATAAGAAACTTCAATTTAATTATGAATCAACAATTTACTGACCGGATGTCTTCCGAATTTAGAATCTAGCATAGATTCTTGTTCGCTAGGATGGATACCACTGCCTCGTAGGCCACCACGTTCAAATTCCAATTGTATAGGTATTCTTTGCCGATATAATGTTGGTGATTCATCGTGATATGGTGCCATCGCACCCATAGCTTTACGACGTTGATTGGCACGATGAAAACAGCATCCAATTGTAACAGCGAATAACAATGCAATTAATATGGCAATAGGTGGAATCAACATTGCTAACAACCGATCACCAAAATAATGCATATTAGGATATTCATCCACATCGGGTGTTTCATTGTCATCTGGATTCATTGATATATTAATTGATGGATCCTCAGTTTCAGCTGCAGCTATTGAATCATCTAAGTTGACACTTTCATCTTCATCGTCATCATCTTCAGCCGATGTATCTCTAATTGGTTTAGCGCCCAGCACTCTGTTTTCTAATCCAGGACTATTAGAACATACAGATTTAGGTATCCATTCGACGCTCAAGAATTTTAAATTAGCTTCCAGTGGATCGAAAAGCTGATTGTAAATATCAAGTACATCCATACTGGTGATGTTATTATTTAGATTAACATTAGATAAAAACTCTTGTGTATTTCGGGGAAATAATCTATGATAGATGTCTTCTTGAATGATTTTCTTCGGACAAGTTTTGGTCTCAAATATTGAACCGCCACCAAGGGCATTTTGGGAATGTGAATAACTGGTCACTAATGTACGATTGGTCCAAACAAATTCGTAGAAATAATCACTTTGAAGACTACTGATGGCTCTAACAGGCCTTATTAAACTTGTCTCATGATGATTATTCAATCTTTTATCATGAGGATGGTGGTGATGATGATGATGTAAATGACGTTTGACCTGTTTTTCGTTCTCGGATACGTGATGTTCAACATTTTTATCAATATCATCCTCAAGTAACAATGAATTCGAGGTAACTTCATAATTTTCAAGAAGAACATTACTATTTATATAAGGTAAATGTTCAACAGGCTCGGCAATTTTGGTAAAACGATGTCGACTGATGTCCAACATACGAAAAGCTTCCAAATTAGAATTTCCCATCAATCGGGTTGATAATGCATGTGCAACTTCATAAAAATCTTTTGATGTCAAACGTTGCTGTGATCGAGATGTAAGTTCAATATTACGATATAGAAAATTCATTGTTATTTCGAACAAATAATCTTCTCTGGTGTTGACATCATGTTCAACATCTAATATGAAAATATCATGCTCGCTACCACCATGAACCGTATCTTCGGCAATTAATTTCAATTCATACGTTCGAATATGTTCTGGTTTGTACGGCAAGCCGTAGATAGTTTGCTCGTGAGTATCGAAGTAAATGAATTCAGGAAGATCAATTTCTGGTTCCAATGGCGCCACTGATAACGCCAACTGTCTTGTGTCTACTTGACGAGTCATTGAATAAACAGTATCTTTTGGTATCTGAAACTTGAATGCACTGCCTAATCTATATGGACCGATTCGATTCAATCGATTGCTAAAAACAATTTTGTCTTTGTGTCTTGATGCAGATGCTGAATCAACAGCGGTCGCATAACTACCACAAGCAGATCGTCCTATAAATATACGTTTAACGTGTTCAATTTTGAAATCAGGAGAAACGGCCGAACGAAGCTCATGTGAAGGAGACATGAAGCCGAATTCATCTTCAGGATATGTTATATCATAAAGTCGACTAAATAACAAGTTGATTTCATTAACAGGACAAGGATGCCGTCGTAATGAATCATTTGTCCAAGTAATTGACCTTCAAAATATAAGAAAAATTTCATAAAATAAACATGAGTTTGATAAAAACAAAAACCACTTACCATTGAAGTGATTCTGGATTTTGTTGTATATTCAAAACATTTATATGCCTCAATAAAGCTTGTCGTTGAGCAGCTTCGGTTAGACCACCGGAAGGCATCTCTTCAAACACTTGAATTGACATTCTTTGCAATATAGACGACACAGCTTGAATCCGTTCCGGATATCGATCATTATCCCAGGTCATATTGGCCAAAATAAATTTATGAGTGTACGAAAGTGATTGTCGTGATTGTCGTACATAAATTTCCAGAATTTCAGTCGCTTCACCACCTTGAAGATCAACTGCAACTAAATTGAATCGATATCGACCAATATTATCATCAGTCGGCAAGGCATACAAGTATTGGTTTTCATTATCGAATTGAATCCAATAATCAGCAGGCAATATTTCTGAATCCATAAAGAAACCGATTCTTAATTGGCGTGTATTACCATCTTCTTTGTCATAAAAAGTATCTTCCGGTATAGTAAATTGCCAAAACTTTCCGGCAGTAATACTCAATTTACTGATACGTTTATTAACAAAAGGTCGATGATTTAATATTGTTGTTGAATGTTCTGTTGTACTTGTCGACGTTGTTGTACTTGTGGATGAATTGTAAAGATTTATATTTCCGGAATCAATTGAAATTTTTCCCAAATCATTAGAATCGATTGCCGTGAATGGTTTGCTATCATCATAATTACTGCTGCTAATACGAGATTGAGTGGAATCGATTGTTGCAGAAGGTTGCAATGTTGACATTGTGCTTGTTGTGAATATTGGTGTGAAGAGTGGCGATTGTTGGTCCAGGTTGTCATTTATATTATCAAAAGCTAAATTAACACTTTGACTAATCAATTCTGGGACTAATACTGGTGTTCGATACAAATGTGGATATGATGGGATATGAAGATGAAGTTGATGACCGGACCGAGTTGATTCCTGTGTTTGAATAGTTGGAGTAGGCTGAATACGATGAAATTGTTCACCAAATCCACCTGGAATCTCATCACTAGCTAAACGGGTGAACGTTGGGGATACCATTGATGGTATAACAGTTCGTGATAATGCAGTCATTTGATCAACATTACTTAGAGAGTAATCGATTGTCGATGTTGTTGATGTTGACCATAATTCTTTATTCAACGCTGGTGTTTCGTAGATATTTTCATCATCAGCATAAGCATTTCGTCGACGATGTTCTCTTTTTTTGTGATGATGATGATGATGATGGTGATGATGGTCATGCTCGTGGTGATGATTATTAAGATGATGAGTAGAATCAGATGATGGCGCCAGTGATATGGAAGGATCAATTCGATTGGCATCAACATTGAATTGTATATCATCATTACTGTCTGTAGGAATTGTACCATGGGTTATTTTTATCAATTCTGAATCGATATTAGATCGTTTCAATTGTTTCAAAAGCAATTGACTATTAGTATCGAGTTGAAGTTTTCCATTAGATTCTGTCTCGCATTCTTTAACATCGTAAAAAAGATGATACTCTTTATTCAATGTTGAACCATGACCACTGATATCTCCAAAAACGGCTTGTACATTGAATTGATTGAGCCATTGCTTTAATGTTTGTTCATTTTGAAATGTTTGATCACTATGTTTAAAAAATGACTGATATAAATCGATCACGATCGTATTAAATATTTGTTTAACAGTTGGGAAATTTTGCTTTAAATCGATTCGACATTGATGAAAATAAGAAGATTGCCGCATTGATTGATCTTGCCATCGATAAAGACCATTCAGCAGGTAAGCTGGGCGGTCCAATGTTTCAATCACAAAAATATCTTCATATTTACGACTATTTTGCATGGCTTCTACTTGAATGAAATAGATTCGTTTTTCTTGTGGAGCTCCAAATAAAAGGCCGGTACTATGATCGAAATAAAGCCAATCCGGTAGCCGGTTGTTAGAATCAATGTTGGAGCCAGCTTGTGTTAAAGTAAAATTTTTCACATCATTCGGAATTTCGATTTGATAGTAGAATAATTTTCCTGTATAAAAAAATGAGAAAAAAATTGTAAAAAAAGTTTTAAAATATTATGGAATTTTTTCACCTATAAAAGCTTGTTGGTCGGGTATACGGAACTCGTCAAACAATGATGTTGTTTCGATATTTAGTAAAGAATTGGATGCCAACGATGATATGAATAATGATATGAATAGCAACCATCTAGTTGATTGATGGTAGTAGGAATTTCTATTGTGATTGGTCAATAATAATGTCGTTCTAGAAGACATCATTAATATTTTTGATGCCATCATTGTTATTGTTAACGATGATTTATAGAGATGGCTTTGTACCTTCAAGATTGAATATATGAAATTAATATTATACAACAAAACAGCAATTTGTCGATTTTGGTCAATTTCTATTTCGTTGTCTCCATTTGTTTGAAAACTAAGCAATCTTTAGATTCAATAAAAATGTGGAAATTTTCTTCATGAATAAATGATAAAAAACTGTGAATTATTTTGATTAACAGTCAATTCACTAAAATCAATGATGAATATAGACATATTGCACAGAAAGAAAAAAACATCAGGTTTGTTATTGGCACGAAGCAATAATGTTGATACGATTCGTTAAGCAAAAGTTTATTATTGATGATATGATAGTGGTCTGGTCTTCATGTGATTGTTGCCAACCATTGAAGCATGATTGTTATGATATATTTCCCAAAAAAGAAAGAAAGAAAGATTCACATCTCAACATGATGAGTTATTCATCGGAAAAAACAACATCATTATTTTCGCAAGTAGAGAGAGAGAGAGAGAGAAAAAAAAAAGAATATGTTCGTGATGGGAGATCTAAAAATTCGTAAAAATAAAAAGACAAGAATAGCATCAATTTTCTTTGTTAAAATAAACAAATTTAAAATTACAGACACACACAAACACGCATAAAGCTATTGTATACATGACCGAAAAAAAATTACTAATAATATCTTAAACAATTAATTAAAAATTTTAAAATGGCAAGAAACTCTTTCAACAACAAACAAAAACAAAGAATATTCTGGCATTTACATTTGATGTTCCACTATGACTGATTTTACATCAGATATTTGAAAAACTAAATGTTTCTAGTGATTTCAACAAAAAACCATTGAACATATGACCAGTATGATGAATGATTTTGGTCTTGGTTTTGATCAGTGTTGAAATTGTCGGCTGAAGAAAAAAAAATTGCCGATTAAGAAGAAAAAATCGATTAATCACTTTCAATTGATGAATGAAAATAGTATAACCAAAAATAAAAATAAATTTCTGGCATTCATAGCATAATCATCAGAATGCATTTGTACAATTGTTAGAACCAAAAATTTTACGCAATGATCTGTTTAGGCATGCTATTATAAAAAGTGTTGTTGTTAATGATGATTATCATCATGGTAATGATGTTGATATGGATGTCAAACAAACATCACAATCGTCACCATTACTCTGAAACCAATCATATTAACAAAACAAAATAAAAATGTGCAAAATTCTTGCCTGAGTGTTTTGAGATATAACACATGGGCGAGTTGTTTGCTTAGTTCTTTTTTTGATGTTTTTTCCGTACATTTCTTTTAGTTTTTTTTTGAAATAAAAAAAAGCATATTGCATAAACTTTGTAACGTACATATATCACAAAAAAGCTTAAACAAAACTTATATTTATATTGACAATGGATAAAAATATATCTATTTCTGTCTATTTTAGTGGATGGGTAAAATGTAACACCCATTCCAGATGACGTTCAATAGTTGAAATCATCATGAAACAATATCAATAACAATATGAGATCAAAATTCTTGAAACTTTTCTTCTTGAAGAATATTGAAAAAAAACCAAGATGATGATGATGATTTTTGTTCAACCAAACTAATTCAGTTCTCAAATTCTCTTTTTTTTCTTCATTGTATGATTTTTGCAATTATTGATTCTTTTTTGAATTTGCTTTAAGACGATTGCTATCTCCCTTCTTCTTCCCCCACCACCAAATATTCTTAACTTGGTCGATGATTCTGTCGAATACATGTGTTGTTGTCACAATTGAAAAATTGTGAATTGTCTATTGATTTGAAATAAAGTTGTTGTTGTTGTTGAAACTTGAATCTTGAAGATAAATTTTTTTTTTTTATTTTTAAACAAAAAATAATAATTCAATTCTCATTGACATTTTCTTTTAAGCATACCAAACACAAACATACCAAAATGGAGTTATAGAAACCAAGGTTTTTTTATAGCTAGTTGTTTAAATAACTGGGTCAACATACACACACACACACATTATTTTGGTTTTAATGAACGTGATAAAACCTAAACAACATAAAAAAAATGATAGAATCTAAAATCAACAATGATGATCATTTTTTTTTTTTGACTTCATCAATGAAAATAAAACCTGGATTCAAACACATATCGTTTCAAATGTTTTATGATTATTATAATAAATAATTGAAATAGAGATCTGTAACATTTCAATCGTAAAAGAAAAATTTTGACAACTTTCTCTCGTTTGTTCTTAGGAAATGAATTTCCATGATGATAAGTTTATAGAAGAAAAATGAAAGACAAAACAAAAACAGCCACAAACAAATATTTTGTTTTGAGAAAAATTTTTGCAAACATCATTAAAGTGAATGAACGGATGAGGAAGCATATTATTTAAACCGAATTTGATACATTAAATATGTTTTTTTTTAATATTTGATATGATAATCATCATCCTTGTTATTATTATTATTATTATCAATATCATCACCATGACAAAAATGGCCACAAAAAAATACAGGATTTTGAACAACATCATCAAAAATAGATTGATTATATATGTGATCATCATGCGAAAATCATGCAAAATGAAATGAAGAAGAAAAAAAAACATTTAGCTTGATTACATTATTATTCATTAGTATTTATTAATTGAATTGTATCATAGAAAACATACAAATCAAATCAAAAAAATAAGCGTGTGTACAAGGCGCTAAGAAATATTATTAATCAATTAGTTAATTATATTTATTTGATATATAGAGAAAAAAAAGCCAGATAGGAAAATTAATTTCACTTACCAGAAACAGAACAGAATTGCAATCAATAAAATGATATAAAAGAAAATGATGTAAATTTGAAATCAAATGAAAAATTGTTGGCAGAATATTCGAAAAAAAAGGCAATCAATGTTGTTTTTGTCAATTTTTTATTTGGAACTTTGAAAAAAAATTCTTATTCTATTTTCATATTTAATTATTAGAACATCTTGGCAGAAAAAAGAAAAGATTTGGCAGTCAAAAAATGAATTTGAAAAATGCCAGTGTTCAGAATTTTCGTTCGGTTTTTTTTGATTCACCAAACAAACATACATAATCAGAACAAAAAAAAATCCTATGAATTATTAAAGTCAATATCGAAAATGAAACTATTATAATTTGATAATTTGATGTTTAGAGCCTATGGGGTCTTGTTGAAAGAATATCTTAAGAAAGACACGCCCGGCTTTTTTTATATATATCCATATTTTGTTTTTGTTGAAATAGGAATTTCAAAAAGAAATATTATGAAACGAATGAATTTGTACTTTAATTTTCTATAGTTGCTGTCGAATATAATTTTCAATTCAATAAAAAATTATATAAATTGATCATCGATTCATCGCATCATCAATTTGTATGTTATGTGTGTGTGTATGTTTGTTTGTTGATATGTGGGAAATTTTACATCAATTTTTGTTTTACTTTGCACAACACTAAGACTTTAAACACAGAATTACCGAAGAAAAGAAAAAAAACAACAAGGCTCAAACCTTGTAAAGCACAAAAAAAGATGTGACCGCGGCCACAATCATCATCATCATCTTCATTGTCGACTCATGAGATCCAGAAGAAAAGTTCCAGACGAGACTTTTTCATTTGGTGATCCAAAAAGAAAAACACACATACACACACAATGCATACATACCGAAATACAAAAAAAACAACCAAGAATTTGAAACACATGCGTCTGGAAATTGATGATCAAGAAGAAAAAAAAAACTTTACAAATGAGCAGGATTCGAATTTCGAATCGAATTTGTTTTTAATGTAGTGGTATACCAACAAACCTATATAATTTTTGAATAGAATTCTGATTTATTGTGTATGCGTGTGCGTGTTTCGAATGTTTCGATGTTCAAGAATTCAAGAATTCATAACCAAAAAAAAAAACTATTTACCGATCGATGAAAAAAGGAAATAAACACATACAACAACATCACATGTATAGCATAAAAGGGAGTGTGTGTGTGTGTTAATGATCAACCAAATCTTGATTACATTAAATTCAAAAAAAAAAAGTATTGAAATGGATAAAAAAAGAAAAGATGCACCTTTCTCTATAGAGATACATCAAAATGTGGATATGTTTGAGTTCAGGATTCTTTCTTAACCAAAACAAAACAAACAAACAATTTATTCATTTTGTTTTTTTTATCTTTTTCGAATGCTTCTACCTTTCGAAAGATTCGGGAAAGGAGAGAAACAAAAAACAAAAAAAAAATCTCAATAATATAAACAACCCACACACGCAAACATAGACATACACACCTATCCTTAAAAAAAAAATTATATAAATATCGTCTGTAATATATATATTTTTTTGAATGATGGCCATCATCATAATGATATTAAACAGATTTACTCTAATATAGAAAAGAATTATTCTATCTATATGATCATTCTACAATACAGAGAGAATACAAAGAATTCAAGCCATCATACCCACACTTTGGTTACAATTGAAATGATGACCTCTCTTGCTTTTCGGCCTGAAGAAGTAGAAAAATCGTATGTATCATACATACAGTTCATTCATTCAATATTCTCCATCGTTGATTTTGATCATCAAAAAAATCATTATTAATTTTACAAAAAAAAAATTATAACCAAATCCTGCAATAAATTCTATTCATTTTTGAAATTAATTAAAATCAGCATGATTTTCTTTCTTTTTATTGATTAAAAATATTATTTAAATAGATTGAGATACGATACCAATTGGAATTTTCAACAAAAAAAAAAAAAAAAATTCGATCGTAAAAACTTGGTTTTTCAAAATCGAATGAAAAAATTTAGATAAATTATGTTTTACGATGTACGTGAAAAACCAGAACCCCATAGACCGGATAATCGAAAAGTTGAATTTTTTTTTCTCTCTCGCGGATTTATTNTTTTTTTTTTTTGATTAAAAATATTATTTAAAAAGATTGAGATACGATACCAATTGGAATTTTCAACAAAAAAAAAAAAAAATTCGATCGTAAAGACTTGGTTTTTCAAAATCGAATGAAATAATTTAGATAAATTATGTTTTACGATGTACGTGAAAAACCAGAACCCCATAGACCGGATTAATCGAAAAGTTGAATTTTTTTTTCTCTCTCGCGGATTTATTATCAATACATATCGTGGTTTGTTGATGACAATACTGTTGATAATACTAATAATAATAATAATGATACACACGATCAATGATCTTTCAATGATTTTGTTTAAGTTTTAGTTTTGTTGATATTGCGAATAACAAAATGAATGTTTATTAGAATGTGAAAAAAAGGCTCATAAATTATGATTCATTGAGAAGCATAAAAAAGGATTATCAATGCACACGATACGCTTTTTTTCCCGAACAGTATCACACAACAGAAATGAATTCATTCACAAAAGAGACCGAAAAAAAGTGGGAAAAAACGATAGAAAAAATAAATTGAAACACAAATCATATCAGCCATTTATTCCATTTGTTATTAATGTTATGATTTCTCAAATTTCGGTTGTTTTGTTTTTCTAAAAATGTTGAACGTTCGATAGTTGGGATGGTGTGGATGTTCGAGGTGTTTTTTTTTGTTATTGTCAATAATGATGGCAAATAACTGCCATGCCAACAAGTGAGAGTTTGGTTAAAGTTGATGCTACTTGTTTAGGTCACCGAACGAATGTAATCAACTCGTAATCGTTAACTTACTGTTCGTTCGAATAATGATAATGCTTATTTTTTTTCGAAGTTAATGTTGAACCGGCTTGAAAACTTGTTTGTAGCATACCAGAAATCAAGTCTTATTTGAATGATAGCGGCCGATGACCATCGAATGATAATTACCATCTATTATAACACTAGCGATATCTATTGACGTAAAATGTTAATATATGCTTTCTATTTTTTTTCTTGTTTCTGTATCCGATCATGAAATTCCAATCGAATATTCAATTATCGATTGTCGATTAAAGATGGAAAATTCTTTACACATTTTGTTATAAATAAAGATTTATGATAAGCCAAAAATGTTGTTTATGATGATTATGATGTTATGAATTTATTCATGAAAATTTTCCAAAAATAATCTCTGCATAAATAAAAAAAACAATATCGATCAATCGATAAAATTATATTTCTGATGAATACGGGTAAAAAAAGATTCATTATCAATTTTGCTTGGATGAATCATCCACGACCATTATGTTTGTAGCAAAAATATGGCTGCATCATTATCCAATCGTTATAGACGAATTGATTTGAATGGAACTCTTATGATAATAGCAACAAATTTGGTAATATGTGAACATTATCTTATCTGATATGAATAAATCAAATTCAATTTACATTTTTTTTCTTCATTTTCAGGATCCACCATGGTGGTTTCTAAAAAATCCTAATGATCTAACTTCTCAACTGTATGATGGTTTGTCATATCCATTTCTTTTGTTTATGGCCGAATATTTTAATTTTAAATGGAAACTTATCGACCAAAATGATGAATGGGGTATAGAACAATGTTCTGCACAAAATTCTACCGGTGTAGTTGGTTCGATTTTATCGGGTAGAGCCGATTTTGCAATGGGAGGTGTTTCCAATTCGATTCAATTGTGCAATAATTTAACTGATGCAACAGATTTTGTTCAAATTTCTCGTATTACATATTTGACACTGAAACCTGAATCACGTTTTGATCCTGGTGTAATTTTTCGTCCATTTGATCCAATAACTAGTTATACCATAGCTATCACCTGTTTATCAATGATATTGTTGTCAATCATATTGCAAAAAATTACAAAAATTCATTTCAATCTTTTTTGGTTTGTATTTCAAGCATTTATCAATCAATCGATCAAATATCCAACTATCAATTGGTTTGGGATAAATTTTTTCATTCAACTTTGCTGGTGGTATGGTTTGTTTCTGAGTGAAACATATAGTTCGGTAATAATTTCTAAATTGACTGATAGTCACGATTATAATATTATATCAAATGTCCAAGAATTCTCGAAAATGACTTCCCAACATCGATTAATACCGATAATGAGTGAAAAATCATCATATTTTCATATATTTGAACAATACAAAAATGAAGACAAAATTTTCAACATTTTAAATAAAAATCTGGAAAAAACTGATACTTATGATGAAGCCATTTACAAAATGATCAAACATCGTTATGATATTGAATTTGGTGTGGAAAATTTTTCAAAAATCCATAAATCACCAATCTATTCAGTTATTGGATCATTCAAATTTCTTAACATGTTTGCCAATCGTTTAGGTCCACAATATTTCATTTATAGTGATGATATTGAAACGGCTTTTTTCACCGATTATTATGGCCTATTGTTTCAAACCAATTCTACAATGATACCATATTTTAATCGATGTATTAAAATAGCACGTGATCATGGTTTTTTTGTCAAATGGTTTGTACTTGATCAACCAATATGGAATAGAAATTTTCCTGAATTAATTTCAATGTTATCACGTTTGAATCAAAATGGAAAACTTGGTGATGCATCCGGTAATCAATTGACTATGTTAACATTACATACTACACAATATTGGTTTCAAACTTATTTTATATGTTTATCATCACTTTTTATTATATTTATTATTGAAATTATCTGGAAAATTGCAAATGTTTTCGAATAAAACATATGTAATTGTATCAATGCAATAATATTCTATTATCTAATGTTAATTCTATTTATCGATTAGTTTTGATGTTTTCATTAAAATGTCGATCAATATTCGTGTTTTTCACCAAATTTTTTATTTTTCATTATAATTCAATTCAATTCCGGTTATTCCGATATAGCCGATTTTGTCTTTAGAAACATGATGAAATCAATTTCCTAAAAGAACAACAACAATGTTATAACAATGGCAAATTTTCTTTGAATATAAATTATTTTCATCAATCTTTGAATCGATATTTCGAATTCATCAAGTTTTTCAACAAATGAATAATAGATTTTTTAGCCTTAAAATTTTGAATCAATTGATATGATTGATTTTTGTTTTTTTGTATTTTTATTCCAATTTTGGCTATCAAACAAAATGGATATAACGTTGGATTTGAAAAAAGAAACTGTCCGATCAAGACTAAATCTTAATGGTAGTTTGATGAAAGTATCTTCTTTTACGGTACGTATATTTGATTGTATAAATGAAATTATTCTAAAAAACTTTCCATAGTTTCCTCCATGGATTGTTGGACAACAAATAGGATCAAAATTTATTGTATTTGATGGTTCTTTATATCAATTACTTCTATTCATGGCTAATTATTTTAATTTTACATATGAATTTCAACTTTATCATAAAATAGACTTAAGCAAGGATGCTAATGGAAATCATTCAAAACTGATTGGATCATTATTGAATGGTGAAAGTGATTTTGCTTTAGGCAATTTTCCAATATTCTATCCAACTATTAATCCATTAGTTGAAACATCCGAAATAATAAGTATAAATCGATTGACATATATTACATTGCTACCGGAACCTGAAGATGTTTATCGTACATTATTTACACCATTTGATTCACAAGTTTGGTTATATTTTATTGTACTCGTGTTAGTTATGTTAGCGGTTGGATCAATATATGAAAAAGTTTTCCATTCTAACAATGATATCTATTGGTTGATATTTAGCTCATTGCTTCAACGTGGTGAATCAAAACATTACACCTCTCAAAGTAATGCAATGAACGTATTAATTCAACTATGTTGGTGGTTTGGTTTTATTTTGATTGCATCATATTGATCTATTATTGTTTCTTCACTTAATGATCATATTCGTTTTGCCGAAATCAATGATTTAAATCATTTTATTCGCTTGATTAAAAATGATTTATTAACACCATTGATTGGGCATACTGGAATGTATAATTATTTTATTGAGGTAAGTAACTAATTTGATTGAAGAAAAAAATTATGATTTGGTTGTTTATTTTATAAGAATCGAAAAACTCAAAGTAAAATTTACGAAATTTTATCAAATCATATGTTATTGACACATAATTATAACGAAGCTTTTCGAATGATGTTTCAAGCACGTGTAGATAAAAAGTCACAACAACATATGCATGCAATTATTGGTTTTGATGTTTATCTCGAATTATGGACTAGAAATTTAGACCAACGTATTTTTGCTGTTCATGATTCGGATAAATCAACAATCATCAAAGAACCTTATGGATTATTATATCGAGCTAACTATTCATACGCGATATTTTTCAATCAGTGCATTATAGTTGCACGAGAATTGGGTTTTTTGAATAAATGGATGTCAAAAAAATATGATTGGCCATCAAATATGAAAGATGCTTTTGAACCAACATTACCGTTACAACAAGAATTAGAAAATGAAATTCTTTCCGCTAAGGAACAACAAATAACAAAAATATTAATATTTGAAAATGTTGAACAAGTATTCTCAACTTATTTAATATGTCTAATGTTTGCTACAATAATTTTTTTCATCGAAATCATCTATATCGTTGGCAAGATAAAGTTTCATTATCAAAAATCAATCAAATCTATCAACAAACATTTTGATAAGAATATTTTAGAGCAAAGTTGACCAACATCGATCGACAAACATTCGAATTCGACAATTAATGTTGAAAAGTTTTTTCATAGATGGCACTATTAACCAGTGTGTCGTGAAAATGATATTTTTCTTTCCGTTTCACTCAGAATCTTAATTTTTTCTTAGTGCGAATCATTGATTTTTTTCGGTCGTTATGCAAACGATGATATGTAAACGTAGGTACGTGATAATAAGAACAAAGACAATTAAAAATATGAGAAAATTTTCTTCTTTTGTCAACATTGTCAATGTCAAAATGAAAAAAAAAACAGAAATCGAAATTGTTTTCTTTATATCATTTTGATATTGTTTTTTTATTTACAGTTTTCCCAAACCTATCGATTTATTGGAATACATAATAATCTAAATGATTTACGTCAAAAAAAATGAAATTCATGTTTGGATTGATTGTTTTGGCAGGGTGATTTGATGTCGATTTTGAAGAACATTAAAGCTTAATTATACTTGTGACAATAGTCAAACAATTTTTTTGTACGCAAATGAAATAAAATCACAGGATCGATTTTGGTCAGTAATAGCGATTTCATCGATTAAATAATTAGTATATCCGGAATAGAATAACAATAATAATTAGAATGAAAACATAAATTCCTAGGAATTTTGTCATTATAAGTTTCATTCATTCATTTATTTCATTCCATCCACGAACTTTATTGTGAATGGTTAATTTTTTGCATTGAATTGTTCATCATGAAACGTTTGAATTTTTATGGCAATTCTATACAAATTGCCGCTAATATTGTAAGCAACCATTTGATCCTTATGTAAGTAAACTTTATAATTTTTTTTTAAAATTTTTTTCACAGAATCCACCATGGCTGTTCGGAACCGTAGGAAATGATTCGATATTAGAACCGACTGGAGGAATGTCATATCTATTCTTAAAGTTTATGGCTGAATTTTTTAATTTTACATATAAACTTATTGATTATAATGGCGATTATGGTTATCGAGAAATATCACCTTGGAATTATACCGGTTTGATGAAATCAGTTATTACGGGTGAAACTCATTTTGCCATCAGTGGTATATCTGTTCGTATGGCCTATAATAATCCATTCGTACGGATTTCGGATGAAATCAAAACGTCAAGAATAACATATATGACACTGGATTCAGAGCCAATCAATGTAAAAGGTGTTATTTTTCGTCCATTCGGTACATATGTTTGGATATCCATATGTATTTTAATATTATCAATGATTACAATTGGATTTCTATGCAATTACTTCATCAGATTAAACTACAGTATCACATGGTTAGTGTTGGCAGGTTTTCTTCAACGTGGTAATCGTAATCTACCCAATGGTTATGGTGTAAATTTTATCATCCAAATTTCTTGGTACAGTGGTCTACTTTTAATGGTGTATTATTCAACTGAAATCAAATCTGCGCTGACAAATATACAATCCAAACGAAATATTGCAACTTTAAATGAATTTTGTGAAAAAGTTATTGATAAATCGGTTGTGCCATTAGTGGTTAAAGGTACTAATTTACGGTCATTTTTTCTTGAACATCAAAATGAAAATGAAGTCTATGAAATATTATCACATAATATGGAAAGTGTATCCAGCTCAATTGATGGTATACATCGTATGGTTGAATCACGTTTACAACGAAGATTAAGGCCAACAAAAATTTATGCCATTATAGCTTCGTATGATACACTCGAAATGTTAGCAAATCGTTTTGGTCCTAAATATTTCAATTTAGCTGATACAATCGCTTCAAGTGTATTAACGGATCGTTATGGACTATTGTTTTCGATGAATTCGACTTTAACACCTTATTTTAATAAATGTATACGTATAGCCCAAGCACATGGATTTTTTGCAAAATGGCACCGAAAACAGTACAGATTACCCCTTTCTCTTAATTCAATCGATATAATGCTGAATGAATTAAAACGGGACTATAATGTTGGATTTGCTGAGGCCAAACAAAACAACCAGATTTTACAGTTAGAAAATGTTTCCGAATGTTTTATGCTATACATTGGTTGCATAACAATAACAATCTTGTGTTTTATCACCGAAATTCTATGGAAATCTATTAAAACATCTAAACCATTACTTAGTAAAAGACTTTTGAAACGGTTACAAAAGCAAGAAAAACTAAAACGTATTGATTCACAAGAGGAAAAAGTTCTTCCTAAAAGTGTGATTACTAATCCGGATATAGTTGATACAATTCCTGAATTCAACCAAAAACAAGTTGTATTACATTGTCTACTTCGACGAAGAGGTAGCCAAAATTTATAAAATGAATATTTTTTGAAAAACAAATATGGAATGAATAAGATTTTTTAATTCGTCTTGATATAAAAATATACAGAATTTGTTCTTTGAGCAAAATAAAATTATTTTAAAAAAATAAATGAGTAGTTTTTCAAAAATTTTGTATTAAAATTTTTTGATATTTTTAAGCAATTCATCATTGTTTAATCCGTTTACGTAAAATCCACCAGTTTGTAGACGACTTTTTGGATGGCCAGGTGGATATTTAATCGAAAATATATTCACATCCAATGCGATACAAATATCCCATGAAACAAAGGTAAAATATCTGATTAATTCGATTGTGTTCCAAATGAATGCGCAAAGTAATGCTTGATCAGGCGAAACCAATACAAAACGATAATGATTACTGTTATTCGAAACAAAAAAGAAATGATTTAGTGCCAACAAAATCGGTGCCACTAATGTGAGATCGAATAATTCAATTTCATGATTGGTGCAATGGGCAATCTATTGTACATCATGATAATGTGGAAAACAAAATAACATTATAACCAAAGTGACAAAAAAAATGAGATAAAAATAAAACAAAACAAAAAAAGAAACTTACCACTAGCTTCATGGTCATTTTGGCAAATATTAGTCCACAAAATAATATGAACATTGTTGGATTCATGTGATAATATCCATTAGTGTAACAATAATAGATCAACACCGATAAAAACAATGGTGCAAATACCGGTTTGAGTGGCTTGAAATTTCTATTTCTTTCGATTTTGACACCAGCTTTTTCTAACGGTGTCTGTCGTCCTAATAAAATTATCGATGTCTGGTATATGATCGAATTGAATAATGTAATCAACGTTAATATCGATAATAATGTACGTAATTCAATTGAAACAATAGTTCCAACATATATACGATAGTTCCAGATAGATTGACCATATATGGCCGTTACCAGGTGTGTTAATATCATAGTCCATTGAGCTTCGGTAACGTCGATCCTATTGCAAAAAAATTAAGAATTAATTATTGTTATTTCATTTGTTTGTCGTTTTTTTGTTGATTGACATACTTTCCGAAAACCATCTGATTTGTAACATAGCTTAGCCAATGTGTCGTATAAAAAGCAAATAATGAAATAAATAAAACCAAAAGAAAAAGTGTTGGCCATTTACCAGCTTGAATGGCTATCCCAGTAGCATACATTAACAAAATAGTTGATACCGAATCACAGCCATGATCATAGAACTCTTCCAATTGACTATTTTGCACCTTATAACATTGCTTACCATCCAATGCGTCCGCTATTTGATAAAGCCAAACGCCTAATGCGCAAAGTAATAATGTCCATGCAGGAACTTCAGATCGTGCATCAGGTGAATATGCAATGATCAATGTACATGTGATTAAATTGATGAAAAAACCAATGGCTGTTATGGTACATGGTGCAACATATTTCGGTATAAAAGTTGCTAAATAGGTCCACAATCGTTGCATTATCCATATTTCTAGAACGCTACCGGCTGAAGCATTGTATTCGTACGTATGATCTTTTAAAAATTTCATTTGATCAGGCTTCAATGCCCAACCACCTACCGATCGTTTGGAAGTTTTATGATCATGATCAGATTTTAAGGCAATATTCTCTGCTCGTACAGTGTCACGAAATTCCGCAAAACTTTTAGGCAAGTTTAGCGAAGTTTTACGGACATGTTGTTGATTACTGCGTGTGTTTCTTTGTTGATGATCATTTTCGCCATCAAAATGATCAATGTTATCAATCCTTCGGGGTATTCTGGGAAAAAAATCAAAAGTCTTCGATTTCATTGATGATTGTGAATGTTTTTTCGGCAATTCCATAATGGTCGTATATCGAAATATCGAGAAAAAAGCAAATGCGGAAATGAAAACAGCAAGAACATCAGCCAATAAAATTTCACATTCAATAACAAACAAAATTAACTTTTTTTTTGTTTGGGATATTATTTTTCTTTTTGTTTTTTTTGTGTGTTTTTGATTTCAAATTACAATATTAATTGAAATAAGTGAAAATATAAAATGAAAATATTAATGACAATAAAAAAAAATTTCTCGAATCCTCTGCAATGCTATGGCAAGAGAAAAGAATTCAAAAACAAATTGAACAGGAAATCTTAAATAGTTCAGCAATTTCGGGTATTCATGCAATAATCGATTGCAAGTATTGTCGTTATCGTCGTCGTCGTCGTTGTTGTTGTTGTTTATTGTTCAAAACAAAATGACAAAAAAATTCCTATGATCATCATTGCTTAAATAGATTTTGGCATATGAACGATGATGTCATCAATCCTCAATGTCATCATAATTTATTTGATGATAATTTCGACTACTACTATTTAAAATCACATGTTAGACGTATGGCTTAATGTTGAAATTAAACTCTAAATATAAACTAGAGTTATCCAGATTATTTTATTTTGTACAATAATAAAATATTTTTAACAAAATATAAGTGGAAGAGGGTTAAGAGTAAGCAATAATAGAGAAAAATAGACCCCCAAAAAAATGTACTTGGTTAGATATATAAATATCACATATCGAAGATAAGGGTTATGATTAAGATAATTATTATCGATTTGATGATTGAAATTGCACGCGATTATTATTGCAATATGGTTGTTGTTGTTATTGTTGATGATGTAGGAATTGGATTTTTGAAGGAAATAAACTTTAAACTTGCAATAATGAAACAATTTTTCTTTCTTCTCACAATTAGTTAAGATATATCAGATGATCTTTTTTCTGGTTGTTGTTATAATTGTCGGTTTGAATCAATTCTTGTAAACATTGCTAGATTTTGAAGATTTGAGTAACACTTGTGATTTTTGATCTGTAAATATTTGTAGTAAATAGATTTGGATCATAATTTCTTTCCTATCACAGTGATCGTATGATCGTATGGTGAAAAAAACGACAATAAACAAAACAAACAAACAAAAATTTCCAAAGAACTATGGACGATGAAATTGGAGAAAGCAGAAAAAAAATTGTGTCGACGTTAACGAAACCATTCGATAAAATGAACGGAAAATTTTTTCCGGATCGCACGCGTTTACTATTATTTTTATTTCAAGTACAAAGTTTCAAAGTTCATCGTCGATCATTGATTCCTTCATTTATTATTGAATCGCAAAAAAAAATCACAAATATCAAGTCATACAAGTGAAATTGATAAGTAAAATCTAGATAAAAGTGAGAGACAAAAAAAAATTATTAAGCTCTTTGATCATCGTCAATATACGTTAAGGACGATTATGATAATGTGTAGGATTTTCAATGTTTTTTCTAAACTGGAAGTTTACTAACAAATAAATTGGAAGAGAACGTCATTAGAGAGGAAAAGAGAGAAAGAGTTTTGTTTCATTCAATTAATAGATGTATTGGTCAATCATGGATTAAAAAATCTGGATGTGTAACTTCAACTTATTGATGATTGTAAAATTGAATTTTGTTAATATTTCATTTATACTTTCGTTTTTGAATAACAATCGAGAAATTATCCGAATTCAAATGATAACCACTCGGATATCATCATGGTGATAATTTGAGAATATTTTTTTTTATTATTTACAATAATATTACAAAGTATATGCGTGAATCGCATTAAATTGTCATAAAGTATCCGAAAACAACATTTACATTTCCATCTTCCTCAATACATTTACTTCCATATTTTTTTCACAATCATCATCATGTACTACGCGTTTAATAATTTCCTTCGTTAAACATTCACATCTATATATTTTGCATCAATGTATCGTGAGAGAATTTTCTTTTTCAAAAATGTTAAATGTTCAGTTGTTCGTCTAAATAATGAATCTAAATTTAAATCATTTCCATCTTGATGATAAACAAGAAGAAAGAAAAGAAAAAAATCTCTGGACTAGAACAACAGTAAACGATGTTAATGATGTTATATTTGTTGTTCATCCTGATCGTTTTATTTCAGGAAAAAAAAGAAAACAATGTTAACAATGATGATGATGATGTTTCGATTTGAATTATAAAAAAAAAGTATTCAATAATACAATACAGCTGATGTTGGCTTAATAGTTTTGAAAAAAAAACTGACTACCATTTTCATTTTCATCTGTTCAATGTTCTAGGAAATCCAAATATATAAAAAAAATCTGGAGATTTCCAAAAAAAATAAAAATGGCGTGGTCTGTCAACATGTTGATGATGTTGTTAATGTTTGTATTCGACAACTAAATCAACCAACCAACTGTTGATTGTCTCGTCTTTTTTTTCTGTGAGACGATTTTAATATTTTCTATTATTTGCAAACGAAAAAAAAAATTTTCGATTAAAAATGGATTGTCTGAGAATTTTTCTTCTTCTTCTTTTTATCACTTTAAATTTTCATCAACCTAAATGATGATGATGATGATGATCATTGTTTGACAATCCGAAAAGATACGGAAATAGACAGAGTAGAAAAATTTATTTTAATGATTGAAAAAATACCGTTATTATTTTTCACCAATTTTGAACGATCAAGATAAAAATAAAAATGGGTAAAAAAAAATTTTCGAGTTGAACGAGTACATCACTTATCTACAAATCAAATACATCGGACTTTGATATTTTTTTTTCTACTTTTGACCTTCGGCTTTCTATTAACTAATAATAATAGAAAAAAATACATCTAAACATAGATCATACAAAACAAATTATTTACCAATAAAAAAAAGTCAACAATAATAACAAACAAACAAACAAACATCAAATTATTATGCATGATAAAAGGATCAATATCCCTAACATATGTATCTGTCATTCATTCATTCATTCACGTATCCAGAACCAAAAATAAAATGTATCTAATAATAGTAATCAATATCATAATCGTATGTATTGAATGTTATTTATTGGCTGGTTAAGAAAAAAAAATCCTGTTCAAAATAGACCGGCACATTTATAATTGGCCAAACATTTGAAGATAATCTCCACCTTGGTCATTTCACATATACGATAATTTTGCTTGTCATCATTATCATTATTATCATTTTCTTCATCTCTATTGCTTGCTTGTTTGTTTAAAATTTTTAATTAATTCAATCCATGTTTTGGATGGCAAATTATTCATTTTTTAAAATGTTCCTGTTTCTATCCCCACAATAATCATCAACTGGTTGATTTATAAATTTATTATTTTTTTTAAATTATAAAATTACTGACAAATATTTTCAATACACCCTGAAGGTTTTCTTAAATATATATAGTTATCAAAAAATGAATGGTATCAAAGGGATTTCCATTCGTGAATGAAAAATGTTTATCGATCTATACAATGAATGACAATTATTCATTCATAAATAAATGAACATTTACGGAAATATGAAATATGATCAAAAATTTTCAAATAAAATATTAATCAATAACTTTATATCTATCTAATCAGAAAAAAAAGTCTCGTGCATCATAATTTTGTAACTGTTTCTTCATTTTATAATTAAGGAAATAAATCAAATAAACAAAACAAAAAAACTAAAGCAATTGATGTATCGATTTTTTGAAATTTTATTGTTTGCAGTTTAATGATTTTTATGTAAACATCTAAAGGCGAGTGTTCTGATTAAGTTTTTTTGTTGTTGTTGTTAAAATTCCTGAAATCAAACAAACAAAAAATATAGGCGTCATGATAGATAGATGATTGCTAGATCGCAGATAGAATTTATCCAAATCATCAAACAAACCGAAAATATTCGTTATATTAATGTAGGAAACAAAATCGTGATGATATTCATCACATTTTTATTTTGTTGATAACAATGTTTACACAAACCAATAATAATGGCTTCTGCCCAAAATGGAGAAAAAACCAAGCAAACAATGTTATCTCACCAACCCAATCACATGAATACTCGATTTTTTTGGATGTAATGTTGAAAATAAATAATGATAAATAATGCAAAACATATCTCTTTTGGTGACCATTCTCCTGTTCATCTATGTTGATGGTAATGATAACGATGGAAATATTGATATGATGATGGTCATACGGTTTTGCATATAACAGTTTCGTTTTCGTTTTTTTTCATTCTTCGAAACAAGCTCGTTCAATATCCGTAATCAACAATTTCAAATCTTGTCCCGGAAAAAGAAGAAAAAAGTTGGAAATAAAAATGTCAAATAATTATTTATTTGTTTGCAAATTGTTTGTAAAAATAAAGGAAATTTTTTTTCGTTTGTTTGTGTGTTTTTTCAATTTAAATAATAAAAAATTACGACAATAGTTGTGAACAATCAAACAATCAGGTGATGGTATTTAAATTTTTTTTTATTTTTCAAGTATAGTTTTAACGATAAAACATTAAAAAAACACTTTACAACTTGAAATCAAACGAAAACAATTTCAATATGCTGTCCGTGCTATCTATAAATGAATGGGAATGAAATCTTGTTTTAATTCAAACTATGTTACTAAAATTAGTAGTGTGTAGGACAATAAGTTATTTGTGATTGTGTTTAATTTTCCTATCGGAAACTTCCTATTGCCTGCTAATTATTGAATTCCCGAAAAAAAAACATCTTGATGCTTATAGACTGAATGATGAAAACAAAAATAAATATGAAAACAAAGAACAAATAAAAAATTCATCATCATCGCTGTATTTCTCATACATTTTTTTTATTATTCACGTTAGAAATTTCAGATAAACAAACAATCATTGGTATGAATAATCGTTAAAGATTTCACATAATCCTTTTCAGTTACATTAATACATAGTTCAATTGAAAATTCAAAATAGGATATTGTTATATGTTATACTATATAGTCGTCAAATCATTAAAATAACTTTCTATTTCGATAACAACCATTTTTTTTTTGATAAATAAACGATTAGTACTTTGTTGGTATTATAATGTTGATCTTATCGGACATGTGATTTCTTTTGTGTGCACATGAGGATGAGTGAAATTTTAATTTTCACTTTTAACGCCATAACTATGATCATAGGATTCGATAGGCAAAGATCAATTTTTGTTTTGGTTACTTATCGATATTGGGCGCCGGATTATATTCACCACTTCATTGATAATATTTTTTTCTGGTCAATATAGCCAGCTTAAAAGATTAGATTATTTTTATTCACCTTTTACATTGAATGAATATGCGAATCAAATTGATTTTCAATCATTGGAAACAAACTATCACAATCAAAATCTTTCCAGAAAAAAAATCCATGTCAATTATTATCATTTAGACAAAAAAAACGAATCATCAATAATTTCCAAACATGATCGAACAGTTTTTTTCAGTTTCGATCAAAACTGTTATTATTACTTATCGATAATAATAAATAGGTACATAGGTTATTTTTTGATAATTTATTCCATGACATTATTTATTTGAACATTCAAGATGAAAAAATTCCATTAATTAAATACAGAAAAAAATGATGATAACAACAATGAGAAAAAATTATTTTACATTTTGAAAAAAATGATGATAATTTAGGCTGTAATTTTTGGTGAAAGAACTTTGATCGTTATACGATTTGCTGTTGTCGATGAAGATGATGCTGCTGCTGTAGACGATGATTTTAGATTGGATCCGGTTGTTGTCGATAAAGGACGATGATTATTATGATGATCATCGATCGTCTTTGATGTTTTATTGAAAGTTGATGTTTTAAATGATGACAATTGTGATGATTGTGGTGATGATGATGATAATGCAAATGTTGATGTTGATTTTTTCAATACAAATTTTGTTGCCGACAATGATATTGAATGGTCCATTTCAACAGATCTATTTTTAGAAATATTATTATTATTGATTATAGATGTGTTGGTATTTTTCGAAAAACTGGACAAAATTGGTCGATCAATTGATGTTGATGTTATTGGTTTCAATGTCGACGATGATGATGATAATGATGATGGAATTTGTTTCCCATGTTGATTGGACATTGTTGTTTGGTTAGATAAATTACGTCTAGGAAATACATTCAACAATGTCGTTATTGCTGGTGTCGATGATGATTCAACTTGTACCATATTGTCGTCAGTATGATGATGGTTTGATAAGTTCAAAGATGATTTATGATCTTCAACATTATTATTATTATTATTATTGATGGATGATAATCTATAACGTTGATCCTCAACATTTTTTTGATGATCATTTTTATCCTTAGCATTTTGACCATCATCATCATTACCATCATCATCATGGCCATCGCCTTGTTGATCATTCAAGCGATTATGATTAGAGCGTTGTCGATTTTGTGCTCCGAACATTTTCTGATGAGCTATCCTAAATTCTTCCATTAGAAGTTCTATGTGGGTAATAAAATATAAAAAAATGATAGGAAAAATTGGGACAAATATTATTTTTGATCAATGTGATTTCAGTCTAATACAAATCGGGGCTAAACATTTATGGCAAAAACAAAACAAAAAAAAAACAAAAAAACATCACATACCATGTTGTCGTTTTTTATTATCCGAAGCATCCTTACTACCAACACCTGAACATCCAACGCCATTGCTACTATCATTATTATCTTTTGCACAGCCAAAAGGTGGACGACGTAATAGTTTATTTTTATCCACAGCCGACATCGTTGATGAAGAATTATGATTCAAATGATTATCATCAATAATCGACGAATTATTATTGGATTCGATCGAATTCACTGGCCGTAAATGTCTTCGCCGACCATTCTCACCCATAGCTTTAATTTCTTCAAGAAATGAAAATTGTGGCATACATTGTCCATTGATTGCCGAATTAATTGTGCCCATTGGCGGTGATGAGGGCGGCCGTGGTGGCTGTTGTATCATTACATTCGATGATGATGCTGATGATGAGGGACAATTTGGCGATGTAGATGATATTGACGATGTCGATGATCCTATAGTACTGTAATGATGTTGCTGTAACAATGATGATGATGATGATGATTGACTTGGATGATGATAATGATGACTACCATTATTATGATGAAGATGATGATTTCCATCAGCTATTTGGTGTGCCGAAGAATGATGATGATGATGTGAATGATATATGCTTTCTTTATTCAACAACAATTCCTTCCTGATAAATACAATGAGAAAACAAAAATCATGTTTATTGTTTGTTGATAACCAGGACAAATATGGAAAAATCATTATCCAAATTTTTTTTTGGATAAAATTTAAAACATTGACAATAACAATTATGAGTGAATTGTTTGTTCGAATTTTTGTTTTAACCATAAAAATCATTGTATACAAAATGGTACTTACTTTTCAATTTCCAATTTTTCTTTTTCCCTGCAAAGTTTTTCATGTTCTTCGTTCAATTTTCGAGAAGCTTCGACAAGTTTTTCCTCTTTTTCTCGTACTTCCTGTAATATTCGAATGGAATTGGTTACAGCATTTGTTACTTGATCAACATGATTAACATTAGTGAACAATGTTACAGGCGGTACGGCCGGAGGTAAAACCGGAACAACTGATGATGATGATGATGGCGGTAAAGGATGTGCATAAGAATTACCGTCCAATGAAAAAGTCGATGGCCGATTACAAATTGAATGTTGCTGTTGATGATGTTTATCCTTGGAACGTTGACGTTCACAGCAACATCGATTTTTTGCACATGAATTTAACGGAGATGATGATAATGATGATGATGATCCCGTTGAAGCATTAAAAGTAGAGGCAGATATTTGAACCGAAGAATATGCAGAACAATAATTTGAAGATGATGATGATGGTGACGCATTTCCGATGCCCTGAAAAGATTCGAATGTTGGTGAATTTGTTGATGCAGCTGCGAGAGTTTTGTAATGATGTGGTGATTGATAAGTTGAAGATGGACTACTTTTTGTCGGACTTTTACTTCCTTTTTTCACTGACACCAATGTTGAGCTAGTAGGAGGAGGAGGTGGAACAGGAGGTGGTACCGGTATTGCTAATGGAACACTATATAAAACTTTACTTTTTGAACTATGTTGTTTATTATTATTCGTTAAAATTCTTGAAACATTGGCTGATTTTGATTTTGACTTTGATGATTTTGATGTAATCGACGATGTACAAGATGTTGGCGTAAAGTATTGATGCTGTTGTTGACGTTTAGTTGGTGATGAATAATGGCACTTGTTCAATGTTGCTTGCTGTTCTGATGATCCATCAATAGATGTGGAAACATTAGTATTGATTGTACTGTAATGATCACGACTAGAAATGTTAAATATGATAAACACAGTTGAACATCAATTAATAATAAATTGGCAATGTAACTTACCACTCAAATATATGTCGGGCAACACCTTTTCGAACTAAAAGACTGATGTTCGTTAAAGATTTAAGCATGGATATGGCACCATCAAAACCAATCACGGATACATCTAGATTGTTGACACGAACAATTTGATCACCGATTTCTAGACCACATTTTTGAGCCAATTTTCCTTCTTTAACATGTTGAACAAATATTCCTGGACATGTTGTTGGCCCATTGACAACCGAACATCCTAATGATGAACCTGGTTGATGACATTGAATATAAAGATGTTGTTCATTGTAGTTAGAGCAATAGATTGGTCTAGATTTTGATGAAAGTGATGTTGATCCTGATGATGATGATGAATTGGAAGGAAGTGTTTGTGGTTTTGGAGGCATCGATGTTGGTAATGGTGGTGAATATTGTCGATGATGATGATTATGTGAAGAAGGTGATGATAATTGCTGTGGATGTATCAACAGATCGGACTGATCATCAGAACTTGATAAATGATCATCCGATGTGGATGATATCGTTGATGAAGCAGGTGTGGTCAATGATGATGCAGACCGTGGACGTGTAGGATGATGTGAATGATGGCGAGTATGATTGTTTGCATGATTATTATGATGATGATGATGTTGGTGATAAACGAATGAACTAACTTCAGATGATGATCCTGATGAATGTGTTGGAGCCATCATTGTTCCAACAACACCAGCATCATTGACAATGTTGTTATCACCATTACAACTATTTGTCATTGAACGTTGAGCACATAAACGTTTCCAAGATAATTTATCACCAGGACCTCGACCTTTAAATGGTACAACACCTACTGAACGAACACGAAGTGTAAGATCATTGGCTGACATACGAATCAATGCCACCACTTCATCGTGAATGACACGATCTAATGGGAAACCATTTATCCGAAATATTTGATCACCAGGCTAGCCCAAAATTGTAAATATTAAAAAAATATTGCCTAAAAACATCCTTATACAACAGAATATAAGACACTTACACAAAGGCCTTGTTTGGCAGCCAATGAATCGGGCTGTACATCCGATACATAAAAACCAATACCATGTTCCCAACCTGCAGGCCATATGAAAAACGAAATTAAATTTAAAAACAAGAACTATTTATGGAATCACATTGAATTCACGAAAAAAATATAGCTAATTCATTGACATTTTGGAAAAAAAATTTTCGATACAAAATCAAAATTGATCAACAATGAATACTAAAAAAAAAGATAGCAATTAACCTAATCATCATGTCATGTATAATGTGTTGTTGCAAGTGTGTTCAATTTAATGTGAAAATTTTCATTTTCACTTTGACGACCAAATAATCCAATTATATAACGAAAAAAAAACTAAAAAAAAAATCACGATATCAAAATGACCGGTCGATCGTTGTTGTCTTTCATGTGTCAAGAAAACGATGATGGTAGAGCATGAAAACATTTGATTTGATTTCATCGGTAACCAATTTTTCAACAATCGAGAACGTGATCTTTTTTTTCTTCCATCATCACAAGACACAGGAGAAAGTTAGTGTCGATTGAAACATTGAAATTAATATATATAAAAATGGGCTAGGAAATTGATAACTTTTTTTTGATAATGCTTATTGATTAATGATTGACAGGAACAACGAAAAAAAAAATGTTTGACCGAGTTTGTATTTTCATTGCTTCCGAAAGATTTATTCAGTTTGATTTTTTTTTTTAGTTTTTTTTGCATATTCATTTGAGATTTTCGTTGTTTCTTTTTTTTTTGGCATTCATTTAATCAACAACACTGTATTCACGGTTTTTTTTGTTTCAAAAAGAAACAACAATACTGTTGTAAACTAATTTACAAGATTATCATTGTTTTGTTTTCTGTATTGTGATTCAAAGTATACAGGTGAATCAACAACAACAACAACAATAACACACAATCAAGATTAGTTATATCACACACATATTGTTGTTGTTGTTGTTGTTGTCAATCCACCCTAATTTTTCTACTGTAATCCATTCGAATATTTTGTCCGACAAATGAAATGTAAAAAAAAGGGGCAAAAAAAAATAATCCATCCATATTGTAATCAATCACATAGACATCTACAAAGATGTTTAATAATCAACATTTTTTTCATGATAACAATAAAAAGAATGCCGGAAAAAATCACATTCAAATTTTTTTTTATTTGACCATTAAGTTTTTTTTTCGGGACCATTGTCAGTTTGGTCATAATAAAAAACTTATTTTTTTCCCTATTTTGTATTTTTTATTTATTTGTTTGTAGTCAAACAAACTTGTGGGAGAATATATAAAATTTCATAGACTGGACAATACTTTAAGTGATGAATGTTCTAACAATTGAAAGGAAAAACGGTTTTTATTATAACAAATTTCATCAAAATGGAAGCATCCTTCTTTTTTTCCTTTTTTTATTTCATCAAAATATTCTTTGCCATTTTTAATTAGAACAAATAATGACGATGATGATGATGATGAAGAAACATGAGAAAAATCATTATCATCATTTTCAACAACAACAACATAATTTCAGTTTGAAAATTTTTCACACATTTTTTTCATTCATTTATAAATAAACTAAAAAAAAACACTTACCACCACGAATTGAAAATCCTAATGATTGATTTGGATCAGTACGACGAAGTCGAACATTACGACATTTACCAATAAATAATGTACCCGATGTATTTGTTGAATTAAATGATGAACAAATATTTGGATTTGATACGTTGTTATGGTTGTTCACATTACATATGGTTGCTGAATCACCATTACAACAAATATCCATCATTGATGATGATGATCTTGGTATAGGTGACCAACAACACAATGCACAATCACCATCATCATTTAAATTATTATTATTATTGATCAAATGATCTTTATTTTGATGTGACACAACATGATGAATACCGTTATCAATTGATGATAATAAACAACTGGTTGATTTTGCAGAAGATAATTTATGCGGCATTATAACCATTTTTGATTAGGTTAAGATTGAAAAAAAGTTATATAGATAAAAAAATGAGGACATAATCAGATTATTTTCAAAGAAAAAACAAAAAAAAACAGATCAACAGAAACACGAAATAATCATGGCTATTAATCGATAATGAACAAATAATGATGATGGACCAATGATGAATTGAATATGCATGCAAACTTGATGTTCATGCACGAACAGATTTTTAAACTTAAATGATCCTTAGAGTTGGCGTTAAAATAACAACAAATCCAAAGATGGGAAAAAGATCCGATGTTTGTAAGTTAGTCGTTTGACGTCTTGCGATTGAAATGGAAGAAAAATTATATTTTCAGCCGAATAACTTTAACCGGGAGATTTTTTTTTTCGTTTCGTCTCTACGATAATCAAAAAGTCATTTCAAACAAATGGAAATGTGTATTGGTGTTGGAAAGAGAAAGACGATCGAAGCAACCTGAATTATAAAAATAATAAAAGAAAATAGAGAAAAAAAATCGTGAATGAATGAAAAATCCGACTAAGGTATGGCAATTCAATCATTTCCATAAAAAAAAATTCAAATAGAGAAAAAAAAGAGTCAAATTTTTTTCGAACAGAAAAAAAATTTCTTAAATTATTTATTTTTTTTTCTGGTAGCATGTTTTACCTGAAAAATTTCAATCAAATTCTTTAAAAAAACAATAGATACAAAAATGTAAGCATATTGTAACCAAAAAAAAACACATGTTTATATTTGGATAATTGTCCCTGAAAAATCTATAGTCCAAAATAATGTGCAAATAAAATTTTCGCATCCGAAATAAATTCTCAAAATCTTGTTTTTTGTTTCAATTTTTATAATTAATGATGCTGCTGCCTGATCATCCGTAAAAGTATTCTGCATTAATTAGTAAAACAAAAAACAAATATAAAGTAAATAAATATACTTTTTTGGTCAAAAAAAATGTTGTTTTTTTTCATCTTGCTTAGCTATAATTACGTAATTTTTTTGTTTATGTAGGCGTACAATAATGAGTTGTATTAGATACAAATACGATTGGTTTTTTTTCTGTGTTAAAAAAAAGGTGTCGATCTTAATGTAATATGTTTATGTGTGAAACACGCGCATCATTTTTTTAGGATAAAAATATAATAATCATAATAAGATTTGATTTGTTGTAAATACACAAATAAACACGTATCAAATAGAGAAAAAGTTATAATAAATAAAATGTTAAAACTATCGATGATCGACAAAATCTTTTTATAATTTTAGGTTATGATTTTCTCTTTACAATCATCGTAATCGAAGATGATTATTATTATTTTTTTCTACCAACAGATGATTCGGACAGTTTTCTTAATTTAGAAAGTTAATACCATAGACAAAACGATGATGATTGTAATATTATTGTAATCATCATCATAATCATAATCGGGTAAATATTAAAGTGATACGATTGGAAAAGAATACAATGAGAAGTTGATGATAATGATCGACTGTCTTATTTTTTAAAAAAATTCGTATTTCGTAAAAAAAATAAAGTAAAATAATATCAGAACAAACAATGTGTAGCAAATTTTTTCATAATTTCATAAACGATTGGAAGAAGAGAAGAAAAAAGAAAATCGGAAAAAATAGTAGTTTCACAGAATACTCAGATGGATTTCGATTTCGGTTGTCATAGTTGATTTTTTGAATAAAAATGACAGCTTTTTCCACAATTATTCAACACACAGTGAAAGATGGATTATGAATTAAAGGGAAAGGGAAAAAAATAAAATGGAAACAAAAATGGAAACAAAATTCCACCACCAACCGCGTTGACAACCGTATATCATTTGGTTGGTCCGATTCATTATCCATCATTTCAAAGAGCAACAACAATTGCCAACAACAACAACAACAGTAAAAAACACATCAAATGAACTAAATGATGTACAGACTGGTCACTTTGTTGATCCATCATCGCACAGAAAATTTTTTTTAACTCGATTCGAATGATAAATTGGACATATGAATTGAAAAAAAAGAAGAAAATCATTCATAGAAATCAGTGAGTAGTATAAAATAAAAAGATCTATTTTTTTCATTCGAAACACCAACATGGTTTATTTTGAAACATAACCATCATCATCATTGTCAAAATAATGATTCTTGCTCATTCAACATACGAATCCGAATGATCAATTATTGATTGATTGATCATTGAAGATTGATTTGCAATTATTGTTTTCGCTACCAATCAATCGTTCCAAATGATTGACCGGATTGAAGAAATGCAATTGGAAATTTGAACACTGTAAGCAATGATATTATTATCATCATCTACAAACAATGTTTTTCTTTGCTTTGATTTGATTTTAGCCAGTAGCCGTGAATTTATAAATAATAATAATAATTTCTAGACATTTCATTCATCAGTTATTTTCTTAAATATGAAATGATAACAAGATATAGAAATCTATATAATAAACACGAAGAGGAGAAATGTGATAGGATATTTTCACTAAAGAAATGTGGACTGTTAACAAAAAAATCACACCAAAATGTAATAATAAATACAAATTTGATGATGATGATTGTAATCAAAGACAATCGATTCACAACTTTAATTGATCGTACAATTCAATCATCGATTGAAACAAATTAAAATTTAAAATTCAATTCAATTCAATTATATTAGCATCATTGTTTCGATTTTTCATGTTGCTATTGCTCTGCAAAATTACCATCTTCAAATGGGATGGGATCCCTTTTTCAGAAAAAAATAGGCAACAACAATAGAAAAATATCGAAATACCATTGATGAGATGAGCAATGAGAGATTTATAGTTTTATTCGTTAAAAAAAAACGAAAAATTTCGGGTAAAAAAAATCAAAAATTTATGCACGCCGAAAATCCAAAAAGGTGGTTATTATCGTGAATGTTGTTTTTCGATACAACAACGTTCATTTTCTTTTACTTATTTAAAAATGATTATTTACGACCAAAAAAAAAGATGGGGTGGATTAAAACCGAAAACGAAAAAAAAAATCAGCAACGAATCGTGATCTGTAAAATAGATTTTATTTCTCGTTCAACATTATAAAACAAAAAAAAACGCAAACTATCCGATCATCATCATTATTATCAGTGGCTGAAATGTATTACGTAACTTCGTTCAAGTTGTTTATATCAAAATTCAGTTATTATTATTATTACATGTAAACATTGACCACTTTTTTTAACCAATAAAAAATGAAAATTATTACTATATCTATAGACGATGAATAGGAACAACAACAACAAAAAAAAATCTACTAACATATCATATATATTGTTAAAGACAATGATGAAAATAATGATTGCCGTAATGATGATAATAATGATGATGTTAATGTTGATGAGAATTGAATACCAAATAATGGTTAGTTGAAAGAAAAAAAAATCAAAATTTACTTTCATTCACATCATTTTTTTATCATTGAATTTTGATTGAATTTTTTTTTGTGAACAAAAACATAAAAAATATGCTGTATACACATTTAAAATTCACAAGATTGTGGCCAAAAATAATCATTTTGATCCGATTTGTGAGTAATTTTTTTTGTGGCGGTAAGGGAAAAGAAATGAAAAAAATTTGAATTAAATTTTTTCAACCAATTTTTTTGTTACCTGTTCGAATATTGAAAATTTATTTTTTTTTCACACGAATATCACAACATATTTATATGAAAATGAAATTATATTCTCTCGATGAAGATGACAATCACACTAAGGCACAATAAGGCAAAATAATTTGTTTAACCCAAACCAAACTAAATGTATTCGGAAATAGAAAGATAGATAGAGAAAAATCGATTTCAATGTTTTTTTTTCTTGCTTCAGGATTATATGGGAAAAATTTTTTTTCGTAACAATCATATAATGGAAAATATTTTTTTTTCGATTGTTTACCTGCAAATATAAATACGATCAATGTGAATTTGAAAAATAAAATTTTACGTGAACATTTTTTTCTGGTTTTGGATTTTATTTTGTGAAAATAAAAATAAACAACAACAAAACCACACCTAGAAAAAAGACATGTTGATCGAAACAAATGTTGCTTTTGTTGCTTGATGTAAACAAAATCAATGATCAAATGTTTAAAATATTCAATTTGGATTAATTGATTAGATTTAAATTCTAATCTTTATAAACGAACAAACAATTCGATTATTCAGAAATTGATCCAAATCAGGTGAAAAAAAACTGTAATAAAAATGACAACAACAAAGAAGAAAAAACATTAAATCAAATTGGCTACTCGTGTTTTCAGGAACAATCATGGATTTCATTTGAAAATTTTCAAATGTTGATTAAAATTATATCCGCAGGTGTAATGTGTTTGAATCGGACAAAACATCACAAACATTTACAGAAAGAAAGAAAAAACATCCAAATAAATACATAAAGGTAACAAAAGTAAAAATGAAAGAAATTTGAATAGAAGTTAAAACTATGAATAAATTACCATACCTTACCATAATTTATACTACTTTTTTTTCGACATTAAACCATGATCATAATAATAATTTTCGTTACTAATGATGATTATTTAGCAAAACAAAAACAAAAAAAAACTATCAATCAAAAAAATTGTTGATAGAATCGATGGCTGATGAATACGAGAAAAAATAACATTGCATATTTAATCTATGAAGATTTAAAATCGGAAATGATTTCCGTTTATCTGATTTACAATCACAGTAAGCTTCAAATACAACAACAACAACAAAAAACGATGATGGCGGAAAAAACAGAAAAATTTAAATGAAAAAAATGATGATCATCATCGTGTGAACGTCATATTGCGAATGTGATTCATAGTAGAACAAAAATCGACAGAGCGAATCATTGCACCGATTCGTTTGATGATGGTATAGGTAGGTAGAGGTAGATAAATACCTGGATTTATATGTCCGATATGAATATTATCCACAAAAAAAATGATGAGAAACAAAAGTCATTGAATGAATAGAAAAGAATCGGAAATGACCAAAAAAAAAACAATGATAATGATGATCATGTAAACATAGTAG